ATTAAATTGATTTCATCGCTTATTTGCAACTTTGCATCCTTGTAATACACGTTCAGTTTACTGTATAATAAACTTATTATTGCTTTAATTTATAGTCAAAACTGCTGGAACTATCAAATTATAAACGATATGAACGATTAATCCTCTCTAATTTCACTATATGGCTTATCTTAAATCTTATTTAGGTTTCGGCATGCTAGAATCCGGATGCGTATCATTAAAGAATGAAGTTAACATTATGATGAAGAACGTCGTAGACATAGTCCTCGGTGGGTTGACTTATTGGGCATTCGGTTTCGCAATGAGCTTCGGAACGGACAGGCTTAAGAATCCCTTCATCGGTCTCGGCGAATTTCTAATAGATCCCTCGGTGGAAGATAAGCTCATGGGCCCAAAGTGTGCGTCTTTTTTGTTCCAATTAAGCTTTGCGACCACTTCGACGACGATCGTCAGCGGTGCCATGGCTGAACGGTAATTCCAAACGAAAGATTCTTCTTCTTCGATCGAAAGTTTCATCTTCTTCAATCGATTTTAGGTGCAATTTCAAAGCATATTGTCTGTTTTCCTTTTTAAATACGATTGTCTACTGCGTACCAGCGGGATGGATGTGGGGCGATCATGGTTTTTTGAAAAACTTAGGAGCTGTTGACATTGCTGGTTCTGGAGCGGTACATCTCGTCGGTGGCACTTCCGGTAACATACCATACATGTACAATGATTTCCATTTATATTCGGATACACTTTAAAATAGAATAACTTCTTTAATATTAGATCAAAAACGTCATTTTCTTTGGGATGTAATATCATAATGTGTAACAAAAAATTAAAAAAAATGCTATTCGTCAGTTTTGAAGAAAAAAAAAGGGGCATGATTTTGATCTTTTTTATTAAACTTGAAACACCCAGTTTGTAGGTCTAAGTTATATGCATGTATGAAGTTTTATAAAAATCAGTTAACGTAGCTATCAGGTACAGACGATTAAAAATTAAGAAAATTCCAGACTTTCATGACTTTCGGCTGCAACTGACGAAAAATCTTTGGAACGGTCAAATGTGTGACCTATATGTAAACGGTGACATGTGTCTGAATATTAAGAGAAATAACTGTATGCCATCTAACAAGAAGAACACATTGATCATTTAATTACTAATCCATAGCTCTAGCATGCGCTATTATGCTGGGGCCAAGACTAGGAAGATACGATAATGGAATCGAGCCATTGCCACTTGGTAATCCAGTGAATGCTATCATGGGCTTATTTGTACTTTGGTAAATCAGATAATCACCTATTATCCATTAATAAACGCACGGTGTACTAATGAATAGACTATTGATTTTTATGCATTTGTAAAAGACGTAAATGTACTGAATTTTGATCAGTGCATTCAGTATGTTAAAGCATGCAAAATATTGGACACAAAGTGGTTCCTATGAAGTTTAATTCATAAATGAAAGGCGTACTTAAATTTAATTCCTTAATTGTGTGTTCCAAATATTTTGGATAAAATCCTAATAAATAATGACAAAATCAGGTGGGGCTGGCTGGCTTTCAACAGCGGTAGCACATATGGTGTCAGTGGTCAACGATGGCAGTACGCTGCCAGAGCAGCAGTCTCCACGATGCTGGCGAGCATGGGGGGCGGTTTAGTCGGACTAGGCTTCAGCCTCAGCAATCCGAATGGAATCGACATTCTTAGTCAGATAAATGGTATTCTTGGTGCACTGATCGCAGTTACAGGTGAGCGTATAGAGATAATTACAGTAGAAACACTCTTGATGTCGGCGATACACTATAGAGTCAGTTAGGTGGTTGTTTCCTTTTCAGGGCCTGGGAAGCTATAGTCATAGGGATGCTCGGTGCTGCTGTCACGTGCTTAGTGATGCCTTTCTTAGACAAAATGCACATCGATGATCCTGTCGGAGCTAGTGCAACACACGGTCCATAATCTCTCCCTTTTGTTCTGTCCGCTATTTTAATCTTCCTTTCTTGTTTTTTTAATTGTTCTATCTTGATACCAGGGGCGAGTGGAGCCATTGGCTTATTAGTTATCGGTTTCTTCGCGGACAACCCGTATCCGCTTGATACGACCAGTGGAAGAAGAGGATTGCTCAAAGGTTTACAATAATAGTCGTATCCAGACAGTGGATTTTTATGCAAAAATATTCATGATACTAGTTAAAAAAATGTTAAAATATTCATTAAACGCTGAGATTGCAGTACATAATTTTTTTAGGAGGTGGATGGTATCTGCTAGGCGTGCAAAGTTTAGCACTCGTTTGCCTTGTGCTTTGGAGTTTCTCAACGTCAATTATTTTATTATGGGTACAATTCTACTAAAAATTAATCTGCAAGTTTTCTCTCATTTATTTATTTATTCACCGTTCCATTCTTCCAGCTCATAAATAAGGTGATACCGATTAGAATGAGCGTCCACGACGAGCTGCTCGGCGCGGATTTAGTCGAACATCGGATACGACACATGCAGGTCTTTTATTGCAACTACTACACAATTGTGATTAAAACAAAAAAAACATTACAAGATTGACGATTAATGTTTTTACAGGTTGGAGTGAGCAGAGCGATGTCTGCCCTTCGACCGATTTCGGGGGAACACACGCTAAAATACGTGAACCCCGTGGGAATCAATCCCGGTAAGACGTGCTTAATTGAAAAAATATTGCTCAATCAACTGTTGCGAATCTTTTTCTGCAACAGGCCACGATTCGTACATCGACAACTACGGTTTCAAAAGTCGTTTGATGCACGGAAAACGGTTCCTACTCGGACTAAAATCGTCGAAGAATATTCAAGAGAAAACGATCACCGGTACTGCATTAAATGAGAAAAAGAAGCCGAATTTCGCTTGGCTGGATTAGCGTTCTCTGTTCGATTAAAGAAGTGCGCACACGTCCTGATTGCTTTCACACAATTTACACGCATTCGTCGATAAATAATTGAAATCTTACACGACTACATGAATGATTATGAGTGTTTTAAGAGTATAGGGAACAATCCTGTTGAATGATCACAGACACAGTAAATACATATTATTATATATGTATATATAATAGCATGGCACGTACGTAGAAGTCTCTTCTAATATACTTTAAGTTTCAGACAAAATATTGTTACCAATGTTATTTGTCGTCTTCGTTTAATAAGGACGCGATACCGGACGTTTTATAACGCTAGGCAGGAATTCATGTCCGAAGACTGTATTAAGTACTAACAATTCCTTACTAGCGGGCTGCAGATCTTCATGCACGTACAGAAAATTCAAATGCACGCATGTTTTGATTAAATGCAGAAATTTAATGTTACATTAAAATCCGCGATCCTCTAATTAGAGATATTATCAAGTATTCACTTATTTACACGCTTACGATAATCTTTACAGGCTTTCTTTCCGTATGATACGCGTGCCTCAGATTATATAGTACTTTTTAGAAAATACTCGACATTCTTTTAATGCTACGTTCGTGTTCCGAACATGTAAAATATATAGGTCATCGTAACGAGCACACGGTTGTACAAAATATACCATAGGAAACGAAATTCATGTGAACTTCTTCCTCTGGGAAACCTTGCTTTTCAACTAAAATTTATTTTGATCGTATCCACGTATGAAATAATTTGCACAGAAACACTTTTGAGTTTAGGAATCCATTCATTGAAAAGTTAATTAGTACATTTTATTCGGCAAATTTAACGATTTTCTATATTTTTCGTATTTTATTTCTCCGATTCTAGTGGATGGAAATTGATAAAAAAAAGAGAGATTTACTGCTATACAAGTAGTATGTGTGAGAATTTACCAAATCATTCAATCCATAATTTATATTAATTAAAAATTCATACAGTGTGCAAATTTCGAGGAATTAACAAACTTAAAGGAATAGCCCTTGGAATATAATTTTCTATACTTTTCCTATATTTAGAATTCTTGTAAGCAGAATGTTCTGACCCGATGAATTCCGACAACAAGAACTTTACAATTTCCTTCTTTTTCATCGATTACAATCAATCAATCAAACTTTTTTTTCTCTTTATAATATTTCAATGAATGAATTCCTGAACTCAAAATTGATTGAAATTGCACGTTATTTGATAAGTAGATCTGATCAAAATAAATTTTAAGTAAAAAGATTCCCCAGAAGGAAAGTTTACCCTGAAGTTCTATTCTCATATTTCAATAAATAATTATAGCATTTCGAAAAATACGAGTCTTGTAGTTATTAGTTCGTTGGTTAAAATGCAGATATGAAAATACGTATTTGCTGATACCTGCAAATATCTTAACGGATCGGTTACACGGTAGTCATTGCCCACTGAGAGATCTCTGTTGGCAATCCAGGATAATTTTTCACAGCTTCCATGATTTGCTGCGGTGTCAGTAAAAATTTATAATACTGATACTCCTTCTCGACTTTTGAGTTCGCGCCACTGGTTGGCAATAAAAATTCCAAATTCTGTGGAAATTCCATTCTTACTAATCCATCAATTCAACTACGAATCTGCTCCAATTCTACGACCCTTACCTTGATATGCTCGAACGCCTTCGTGATAACGGGCTTTTGTACAGTTTGTATAGAAGAATGCTGATTAGCGAATTTCATATAACGATTATAAATGGCCTCGAAGTTAAATGGTTCGCCATCGTATATTTCTGTTTCGTGTTTCATCGCTATTATCTAAAATAATGATAATACCATTGTCAATAGCTTCGGCCACGCAAACAGAAACGACAAACCAACAAACAGACTTACTAAACACATTTCTAATACAGACAACCCCTCGAGCATTAACACTTTATCGTCTTGCGAGAACATTTTACTCGCTTCTACAAAATCGTTTACTTCTAGTCTCTGATGCTTCTCCGACAACATAGAGACAACGATCGCCAAGAAGTTTCTGAAACTCCTCTCGCTGACGTCTATCTGATACATCCTTTTCAACAAGTTGACCATCGTTGGATTATTGACTAAACTTTTTATGTACTCGTTCCAAACGGAACCGAACTGTGGATCAATGGTGCAGTCATCGTACTGCTGCTCTATCCTATTTACATTCTCGTCGTCCGGAAGACTGAGAAGATGCTGAAAGAGTTCTAAACGATCGTCAAAGGCAGACGTCGGCTGCTCCGACGACGACGTATCCCCGGGGAATAAAAATATTTGCCGATGAGAGAATCTCGATTTAACTCTCTTCTCTAAGAGTTCTATAACGTCCAGCCTACAAGTCATGCCTATCACGCATATTGGCGCCTAAAGATATGAGAATTAAATTAAATCTTTATGAGATGAAGGCCAGGCAATTTGTTTGATCTATGCTTACTTGCGCAGTCTGAGCGATGTCAAACAGATTATACAACAGAGTCTGATTATGGTGCTCGCAGAACAAGTCAAACTCGTCTAGTATAAAAATGACCGGCTTCGAACGCTTCTTATCACCCGATTTCAAACAATCGAGGAGGAAAGTTAAATTCTCGGCAAAAGTGCCGAAAACCTTGTCACCCACCACGTTTTCCAATTGCATTTGCCGCGTGGCGTCTTTCAAAGCTAATCGATCGTCGGTATGAACAAGACCATTGAGATTTACTATCAGTGTGTTCTCTTTGAAACTTTTTACAGATGATAATTCTTTCAAGACACTATTTATCAACTAGAAGAGAAAGAGCCTGTGTAAAGGTACTACATGAAACCTCTGAGAGTTAATTGAAACTGATGAACCTACTGTTGTTTTACCACTACCCCTAGGACCAATTAACAGCGCTGAATTGCTTTCGCCCATGTCCACTGTTCTTTTCAGTAAATCCAAAATATGAGTTCTTTCTTTAACGTGATGCCTGAACTTCGTCTCAGGGCACATGATCTTACGTTTCAAGTATTTCCTTGTTAACAATATCATGTTATCTTGAAAATCAATTGCCATATTTTTTTTCTTATTCATATTGATCTCCCTGGAACCCACGAAAAGTAAATAGCTAATTTCCTAAACTGACACAGAATCTTACGATTTCCTTTGCTTGATTATAAAATTACTTCGTATTATTGCTAAAATGCTTGAGTGCCTTTCCAGTCGTAGCGTCGTTCACTGGCCAAATATAACCTATTGATTTTCGAGGATGTATGCCGTGCCTCTGAGAGTGTTAACTCTTTAATTTTAATTCACTTAAATAGATCCGATACCGATTAAACGTGCGGCGGGTCAGGGTGAACGTTCCCACAGTTTTTAGCCAGCAATGCGATATTATATCCTCGTGTCAAAAAAGCAGTGAGACTGGTTGTTTACAAAACAAATATGGAAGACGCGGAGGCGAAAACAGACAAGAAAAATTGCAAGTTTTTGTTCAAACGTAGAAAAATTCGTAACGCAGCGGCGAGGAAACGTAAAACGGCTGATGACGAAAACGGTGAGTACTAACGCGGCAAGTAGGCTATACTGCCTTCTCACTCCAACAGGCCGTAATTCCATTACACAAACTCGATTAACGTCCCTTGTAGGTTACGTGTGATGTACACAAATAATAACGTATGAACTATGCGTGCTTTTTATACTTTTGAACAGAGAGCAGCGAGGATGAGACCGCGGTCGTTAAGAAAGAGAAGAAGCAAGATGATAAAAATCCTATGAGGCAAAGCGTGAGTTTCATGAAAAATCTTGGTTATCTAACAGCTGTTTCTATTCAAAGATTAAGGGATTGCGATAGCGGTGCGACAAGGCAGATATGTCAATGTTATTCACTAAATTGGTCAAAAATTTATCCACAAATAGAAAACTCACGTGACTACTCTAGTCCCTTAATTCGAGTGTAGACAAAAAAGGGATTTATTGTAAAACGAATTGTTTTGCAGACAAACACGAGGAGATTAAAGGGCCAAGAGATTGACAATGACAGTAGCGAGGAAGAAAGTATTACTGTGTCCTATAAAAGCTCCAGAACTCCCATGCCAGCTGGGCCAAGCGATCAGGGGGCAACGGCAATTTTAGAAACAGAGACGGAGAAGGACAAAGATGCTCAAGCTTTGTTCGAAAAAGCTCAGAAGATAAATGAAGTATGTAACAATTTCGATCATTAAGAAAAGATGCAGTGGCTTTCATTAATATTTAGATAAAAACCAAACAACTCTTTTAACATAACAACTTTTCATTTAATCTTTTGTAGCTCATAACGTTAGTTATGTTTAAAAACATGTTCTTACTTTGTAGGAACTGGAAGGAAAAGAAGATGATAAAATTTATAGGGGATTGAACAATTATGCTCAATATTACAAGAAGAAAGATACAGCTGCAGGGAATGCTTCGAGTGGTATGGTAAGGAAAGGACCGATCAGAGCCCCGTCCAATCTTAGAGCAACTGTTAGATGGGATTATCAACCGGATATATGTAAAGACTACAAAGAAACCGGCTTCTGCGGTTTCGGAGGTAAGGCAGAAATCGAATTCTCTCAATCCGATCATTTTCTCAATTATCATTTTACATGATTTTGCTTTTAGACAGCTGTAAGTTTCTTCATGACCGTTCGGATTACAAATTGGGCTGGCAACTGGAAAGAGAAGCAGCTACAGGGGAATACAATAACAGCGGCGACGAAGATGACAAGAAATACGAAATCGACAGTGACGAGGAAACATTACCGTTCAAATGTTTCATATGCCGGAACAGTTTCACCGATCCCGTGGTTACAAAGTACATATAAAATCGTATTATTATACAGCGGATTTTATGCACTTGTATCGACAGTAAATATAACGATTGTTTTCCACGTTCAAAAATAGACAAAATATTAAGAGATGAACGCTTATTACAATGTTTCCATGGTAAAATAAATGTCTATTTAGAATGCATTTCTTTAACTAATTAAATAAGATAATTTAATTGATAAAAGTCCAGTGGACTGAAAATTAAGTATAATGACATCATTTTTCCAGATGCAAACATTATTTCTGCGAAAAGTGCGCCTTGGAACATTACAGGAAGAGCACGAGATGTTACATATGTAATGTGCAAACAAATGGCATGTTCAATCCAGCCAAGGAATTGATTGCGCGAACGAAACTGGAAGAAAAAGCGAAAGCTGCTGAAAATTATGATAATGATGTTTCCGATGATTAATAAAGTATATAATTTTTATTCAACTGTATCACTTCTTATTCGACCCTATAAATATTACGAATTAGATTCAATTAATGAAAACCCTCCTATCAAATTTCCAAATCTATTTCATATTGCCTGAAAGCAGGAATGCGAGATAAAATGAAAGAGAGACAGAGAGAGAGAGAGAGGGAGAGAGTAGGAGTAGGTCGACAACCCTTGTTCGCAAAAGGTCTAGATTTGGTGGCTATGAGCCGTTTCACAAACACTCGTCGAGTTGATGTCGAAACGAAGGGGAGGCACAGAGAGCGAGCGAGGTGGTAAGCTATATAGGGCGAAGGTGATTCCAGCGGCTCGTAGTTCCCTAAATCGATACACGCGCAGTGTTGTTTGCACCGTTCTATGAGAAATGTTGCCGGAGTTCGCGTTTCACGGGCATTCGACAGGGAATGTCTGAACCTCGGCGGCACAGTAGTTATCCTAGCGTGGTATTCGATCGAGAACCGTCAAATCCGAGTCGGGCGAAGAGACCGTGAGAATAAAGCACAGTGCAACTACCGGGGAGATTCGAGGGTTCGCGAGTGGCCGTCCCCGTCATTGATTTCCAAGCATGCCGCGCGCAAAAACCCGCAGCTGTAACGCGATCATCGTATTTTGACGATAAGCAAATCATGTTAGTGTTAATAAACCGTGAAGCATACTTAAATGAACGTGCTGCTTCATCCTTTTTATTGAAACGATCTCGAGCGAATAGTTAATTTCGCAGTGATTACCGGCATGAAACGTACATATAGCTAGCAGCTCTTCGCAATGGATGGGACGATGTTACGTTAATACCGTAAGAACTTTTAATCCAGTTACGTTATGCATTTAGCCGAATTCTGTCGCGCGAGTGATATTCCAGCTTGAAACTCAATTTCAATCAGACGTGACGATTATCCATATCAAGGGACTTCATATCGTGCTTTAGAATATGAATTTAATAAGCGAATACGCGTATGGCCACTCTTATAGTCTCGCAGTAATTGTGAAACAGCTGTTGTAAGCTGTAACAGTTTGTCCGATAACGAGGGTGATTCATTCACGTCACGTTGAATATGGTTTTGACACCGGAAGGATAATCGATGCTCGGGATCAAGTGCGTTAATTATCCATAAAAGGGAAACACGCCTGTACTTAGTGTAGTTTAAGTGATGGAAACGCTTGCCGGCGAAGAGATCAACCGGATGATGTCACGTTTCGCGGAAACCTTCTTTTAACCAGGTAAACGATAAAAATCTATCTAAAAACAATATCAAAATCGAGAAATCATGAAATTGTGTAAATCTTTCTATAGGATTCGTGACGTAGATTGCAGATTTTTATGCAAAATGAAACACTTTTAAAAAATGAGTTTTAGAGAAACATTTATATCTAAGCATCGAAATATGCATTCAGCTTTTAATATCCTGAATTTTATACATTCCATGCAGCATTTCTAATTTCTGCATATTTTATTTACGTAGTTATCCGCAGTCTATTTATCAGGCACGAGAAGATGAGAACTCCAGATTATTAAAAGTCGCCGTGAAAATGCGTTGAATTTCGTCAGTTTCGATTGTACTTTCAATAATACCGAGTGTCGTGTTCCCATTGAAATATAGCCACGCACGAGACGCGTAGCGTACGGTACCACCAGCGTCCCCGTACGTACCTCCTAATTAGCGTTAATCACCAATTAAATACAGTTATCGTGCGCGCATTTAACTGCATGTATGCGTATCGTAGCGATAGTCGTTCGCGCACGGACGTCCGTCACTTGGCATATTAAAACCAGACAGGGTGTTCTGTCCCTGCGAACAGTAACCGTCGCTGTGTAGGCATTACGTAGGTAGATTCTCGGTTTGCATGCGCGTGAATTCGACTACTGCCTGCCTGGCTACTTCGGCCACGTGCGGCTTCTGTTTCCCATCAATCGACCGCGAACAACGCGTAATCAGTGACCACGTCAACCTGGTTCCATACCGTTCCAGAATTCGTTCGGACGAGGGTAATCTATTCGTTGGTATTAAAAGAGATATACTATACCGAATCAACGAGTAAATTGAACGGCCACTCAGGCGGACTGTGAGCTTTTCGGTTCGTTCATACAATGTGTCACGATTAGTCTACGGATTTTAATGCAAAATAAACTATTTATGATATCGATTTAAAAAATGTGCTTCAAATAAAAATCTGTTTTCTCTTTTATCGCAATCTGCGCTTCGTGTTTGATATTATATACATTTTTATGCATTACTTGCAGTGTTTATATTTTTTGCACATTCGATTTCTTTATAAATGCACGAAATCCGCAGTCTAACTACGATTTACTGAGAATCACAGTGATTTAACAATCTTTTTTAATTTATATGTAGATATTTATGAGAAACTTTTATCAAATTGTGTAAAGAGTTTAAACATCCATTGTACTATTCAAGGTAAATGTCACAACTTCTACTCATTGAATATAGTTTTAAGATAAGATAAAAAATTCTATTCACTGGGCTATTTTTCTATAATTCTAAGACAAAATATAAAATTACAGAAAAATACGCCAGTGAATAGAAATTGCGATGCAAACAGAAATTGAGACATTTACCTTATCTATGATTCTCAATTATTATCCTTATAATATTCTTTAATGTTTTCTTGTGATGCGAATACGAAATGCATGTATGTAAATAAATGCACTGTACGAAGAACAGCTGCCTACATTAGATTACATACTGCTTTATCGCACAGGTGTTGCCAAATATTTATCTCCCGTGGAGACGTCGTAATCTCGCCGTTTATTAACTTCTTATTGCATGTGCACGATTTTCGGAATTCCATATGCGAAAGAATATTCCTTTAAAATAACAGTATAGTTCTGGAAACATGCGAGCTGCGCATTTAATGAAACTTCTATTATCTCATCGACAGAATGATCGAGTACACTGAGAGAATGAATAAATATTATCGTATTCGAGTATGCGTAATGTTTCCAACGACTGTGCTTATTATGCTACTACATTGAGAATATTACCTAAGAATAAGAGGAAAGTTGTACTAATTAAATTCTATGCACATATATGAGCAGACTGCGGATTTTCATGCAAAATAAAATATTTATGATAGTAATTTAAAAAATGTGCTTCGAATAAACTTTTATTTTATCACTTACATACCGTAATGTGCTGTTTCGTTTTGGAATTCTGTATATTTTTATACATTACGTGCAGTGTTCATTTTTTCTAAACATTAAATTTCCTTATAAATGCATAAAATCTGTAGTCTAATCATGGTATGCTCTTTGCTATTGCTAGCTTATGCATTTTTCCCCCCATTGTATGCGTCTTTTATGCTTTTTATGCACCTGATTTTGCAGATTTTTGTGGAAAATAAATCTTTTAGAATCAATTTAAGAAATGAGGCTTAATAACAATGTCCTTTAATCGTTTAAACATTATGCTATGCATTTTGCTGTTGATACCTGATGCACTTTTTTCCACTGTATGTATCTTTTATATTTTTGACGCACCTAATTTTGCTATACTCGTATGAAATCCGCAGTGTGGTATATGAATCACGCTAGTTTTAACGATTTTCGGAATGATTAAACATAAGTAATGTACAGTGAAGTTCATAAATATTTATACATATTTCAAACTTAAATAACTTCTTTAATAGTGGACTTAACGAATTAATTTTTTTAGGTGTTAGAGAGATTAGTTTACTACATGATGTATAAAGAAAAATTAACAAATTTCTATAGGTTGAATTTCCGAAGAAGAAAAAGAAAGGGAAGAATTTTAAAGTTTTTTATTCGACTTTCTTTTCCCTTACTTTTTTCTTCGTAAATCCAATATCTATAGCAATTTTCATTAATTTTTTATTATTATTTATTTTATATGTTTATTACAACAATCGCTTTGCGATTTGGATAAGTCGATGAGTTTCTTATAGAAATAATTTATTTGTTCCTTAGAACTAATTATTGCTCCTCTTAATGGTCTACATACATATATTAATCAATTCCTTAAAACGGCTCTAAGTTTTTGTAAGTTACATCATATAGTAAACAAATTTCTCGAACACATAAAGAGAAATTAATTCGTTAAGTCCAACAATAAAAAAATTATTTAATTTTAAAATGTGTACGTATATTTATGGACGTCACTGTATATGGAACTCCTCACTATAACTCCGGCTAGTAACGATTCTCGAAATCATTAAAATTAAGGTACATATGCATCAAAAATCTAAATTCCTCTTTCCCAGTAATTGTATGTTGTTCGTTCACGAGAGGAGATGAATGAAAACAAGAGAACGAGAGCGCGTAGGTGCACAGTAGATGTTTAATTAAAAAGATTGAGAGAGGGATGAAAAGGCGACGCCGCGCCGCCACCGTGGTAAAAAATATCGGGTAAAAAGCGGGCAAGGGTCGCGGAAACGCGCACGTACTCCGGTTGTGGTTCTAACAATGTGCAACCGGATCGACGTTGACGCAAAGCTGACACACGTATACTATAGGTATTTAAATAAAGAGCTAGGCCCTACACCTAACCACAGGGGTATGTTATTCGTAGGCGTTTCATGATCGACTCATACACGAGTGGACGCGAATCGATAAATTGGCGTGTGTACAGGACGATACATTTAAAACCAACGTTGGCCCTGATAATATCTACGTAACGGCTTACGAAAAATGCACGCTCAGGTGCGTTCTCTGTTTAATGACGTCCGCGTTGCAATGACGCAACATTCATCTTATTACGTACTTCCCGAACAATTTATTCGAACACGAGAAGTTTTACACGTGTAGCAATAATTATTTTATCGCGTTATGGAATTATGAAATATTGAATGAATGAGACTTTGGAAGGTGATACAAATCGATGAACATGAGGCTTACGAGAAATCTTTTGAAACTATGAACCCAAGCACTGTATTGCAGATTGCAGTTCTTTAATAGGGGCACTTCTGGTTCTTTAGTCCGGAAAATGCACAATTTTTTTAATTACGTAAAATGAAAATAATTAATTTCACGCTCTGGAGATATACAGGGTGTCTAAAAAGGTTAGGACCAAACGTATACTACGTATTACCGAGATCAGCTAGATTAGCAAAGTTTATATACACTACGAAAATGTTTTGTTGAAAAGATATATGTTTTTAAATATATTTATGAGTTATTGTAGCAGTTACAATAAATGTTCGAAATTTACTTCCTCTGCAAGAATGCAGAATTTCGTTCATCGAATTAGTGATTGTCGAACTTCTTCAAATACTCCAAATGCATTGGAAATAATAGTAAATGCATTTTTAATACATTCCCAAAGTTCATCTTCTGTTTCTATCGTATGTTTATAAAAAAACATGACCCCATAAATAGAAGTCTAGGCACGTTAAGCCAGGTGACCTAGCAGGCCAATTGATAGTGGCCCGCCACGTCCGATCTAATGTGGAGGGAATCGTCTATTTAACGGGCTAAGAAACCAGAAATCCCCCCTTAAATATATTTTAGCTTAGTTTCTGAGAATGAAAAACGAAGTTCGTTTTATTTCGATTTATGAATGTTATAAAAGAAGATGTAGATTTGTCTGACTCACGTTTCGTCGATTCCTCGCGTAGTTCTCGTCGAGCGATCCAAGATCACGGATAACTGTAGACGTTGTTGCAGATGGTTTGTGGCAGTGATGCCCTCGTCGGAGGAGGAAAGCCAGTGGCTCGTTGGCAGCGGGGGTGGCCTCGCATCTTCCGGCGGTGGCACGATATCCGGGACTGGAGAAAAAACGCTGAATATTAGAAGTGGATTGTACACTGAAGAGATGACGACGCAACCGGCAAACGCGAACACCGCGGGGGTGAACGTGGCTTCCGCCGATTCCGCTGAGCACGATCTTATTGACTCGACCGCGGACGCGACCCTTCTAGCGCAATTTCACGAGGATGCTATCAAACAGGTTTGCTCACTTTTAATTCCTCCTTAATAACTTCAATCTTTAGACCACCGGAAAACCAAAATATTGGCTTATGAATTAATGAGTACTTTATATGGCATGTATCCTTCATATAATAACATTAGTTTCCAAAGACTATTTGGATGTAACTATAAATGCCACCGGTCTGAACGTCATCGAAAAATTTAGTCTAGTCAAATTAACTTTTTTCAAAACATTAAAATTGTGTGAGTCCTTGAATAAAAACAATAACAAAACAATCATATCAATTATTAGATATTATAACAGTGCATTATGCAAAATAAAAAATAAGCAAAATTAAGAATTATAGATAGTTGTAGCTCAGGTATAATATATTCACATAGTGGACATAGCTTTTTATCTTAAGGATGTATTGGCTATACAGTCAATCCCAAAAGTTTATGTACCTTAGAAAAACGCATTTCCTATAATTAAAGAGAAATCAGACGTCGGAAGAACAATGCTAATAATAAATAGCTACGTGCTAAAACGTATAGAAGGAAATATCCAATTA